CTACTATAGATGTGAATAGTTGGTATATGTCAAGTGTAAACATACAGTGTCTTTCTTTCATAGCCTGAGTTGCTTTACTCAGCAACAAATCTTTCATATTCATCCACTTTCTGTCAAATTCCAGGGCCTTGTTTTTTATGGCTGAATAATATGCCAAGGAGTAAATGTGCCACCTTTTTCAATCCATTCATCTGTTTATGGACATTTGGGTTGGTTCCTTGTATTAGCAATTGTTAATAAGGCTACAATGAATATACTTGCACAAGCACTTTTCTGACTGAGCATTCTCCTGTCCTTTAGGTATCCAGGAGTGAAATTGCTGGATCATAGGGTAGTTCTAGTTGAAGATCTTTGAGGAACCTCCATATTATTCTCCACAGTGGCTGGACCAATATACAATCCCACCAACAGTGTAGGAGTGTTCTCCTTTCACCACATCCCCTCCAGCACTTACCATTTGTTTTCTTTTTTAATCTTTGCCATTCTGAGTGGGGTTAGGTGGTATCTCTTTGTGGTTTTAATCTGCTTTTCCATTATGATGAAGGATGTTAAACATATTTTCATATGCTTTTTGGCTGTTCATATGTCTTTTTTAGAGAGTTGTTTATTCAGGTCATTTTCCCATCTTTTAATTGTATTAATAATTTTCTTCTGATAAGCCACTTGAGTTTCCTGCATATACTGATTATCATTCCCTTATCTGAGGCAGTTAACAGCATCCCTCATTGTAAGGGAAATGCAGATAAAAACAACACTGAGGTACCACCTAACCCCAGTCAAAATGTCTAAGATTAAAAAAAAAATGTTAAGTGTTGGCAGGTGTGTGGTGAAAGGAGAACTCTTTTACACTGCTTGTGGGAATGTAAATTGTTCCAACCACTGTGGAGAATAATTTGGAGATTCATCAAAAATCTACAAATAGATCTACCATATGATCCAGCAATCCCATTCCTTGGTATCTACCCAAAGGACAGAAGAATTCTTCATTGGAAAAGTGCTTGCACATC